CACATGCATTTACACGGCAGGATGTCGTGCAATGTGAATTTGCACCCAACACACTCCCCCTCAGCCTGCCAGCTGCATCCCCATCGTTCCATGCTAGTTCATGCATTCCACTCATGCGCACACAACGCCAATGAGGCTCATCCGCAAGCCTCTTGGTGAGAAAGTCTGCTGGCTGCTGGTGAGTCTTGATATAGATCGGGTTCACCGTCCCCCTCTTCACCTCCTTACGCAGCCAGTGCCACTTGATACGCATGTGCTTGTTCAGCCCATGAAGCACAGCGTTCCTGGCCATCCCAAGAGCCCCCTTGCTATCACAAAACAGCGGCGTAGCAACTTTCTGCTCCTGGCCAATCTCCTCTAACAGCCTCCTCAGCCAAATCACCTCCTTCACCCCATGGAACATCGCCATGTACTCTGATTCTACAGAAGAGAGTGCCGTCTCCGTCTGCTTCTTGGACCTCCAACTAACAGGTCCTCCCCCAACTACGCAGATGTATCCTCCCACAGATGAGAAATCCTCCTTCTCAGAAGCCCATGTAGCATCGGTAAAGCAAGTGAGAAAGAGCTTGCCTTCTCCAAGCCTCTCTCCCTTCTCTTTCAGCACCTCCACCCCTTTCTGCTTCACCTGTGCAAATGCGGAGTATTGAACTCCAATGCTTGGGTGAGAGTTCAGGTACTTCACCACACGCTCAGCTGCATCCACCTGCTCCTCTGATGGATTCTGCACCACCCTAGCCAGCTGCCCAACCGAGAAAGAGATGTCGGGCCTCGTGTGAACTGCTGCGTACAAGAGGCTGCCCACCAAGGACTGAAATTGCTGCTGCTCCTCGGCTTCAACCCCTTCATCCTCTGCAGCCTTCACAAGCTTGAATTCTGCTGGCAGGGGAGTTGCAACCTTGCGCTCATTCTCAATCCCATACTTCTCCCCCAGCTCCTTGATGAACTTCTCCTGGTGCAGCTTCAACCACCTGTGATCTGGATCCCTCTCCACGTGCATCCCGAGGTAGTACTTTACCTCCCCAAGGTTCTTGCACTTGAAGTTTTCCATCAGTTGCTGCTGCACTTTCTGGATCTCCTTCATGCTGCTGCTGAAGAGAAGAATGTCGTCCACGTAGACCAGAAACAGCACCAGCTTCTCCCCCTCGCCCTTGAGAAAGAGGCTCTCATCACAGCTGCTGGTCCTGAATCCCATCTCCTCTAAAACAGCTGCCAACTTCTGGTACCAGCAGCGTGGCGCCTGCTTCAAGCCGTAGATGGACTTGTTGAGCTTGCACACCCTGCCCGTACCATCCTCATACCCAGGCGGCTGCGTCATGTACACATCCTCCTCTAAAATCCCATTCAGGAATGCCGTTGAAATATCTATCTGAATGATGAATTTCCCACTAACAGCTGCATCTGCCAACAAGACACGGAGGGTAGGGGGTTTGGCAGTGGGAGCAAAGATCTCGTTGAAGTCCTGCTTCTCCTTCTGCATAAACCCCTTCGCCACCAGCCTACTCTTGTAGATGGTGACCTGCCCCTTGTCATCGGTCTTGATCCTCAGCACCCACTTGCATTGTATCGCTTTCTTCCCATCAGGCAGCACCACCAGATCCCATGTCCCATTCTCCAGCAGGCTCTGGTACTCAGCATCCCTAGAAGCCAGCCACTTCTCCCTATCTGGTCCAGCTAATGCCTCCTCCATGCTAGCTGGTTCCTCTGGTGCAGGGGCAAGAAAACAGTACGCAGGCTCATCCTCCTCATCCGGGTCATAGCCATGAGGTAGAATCAGCAATGCCTCTTCGGTCCCTAGCTGCTGCTCTGCTGCATCAGTTCCTGCAGTCAGCTTCTTAGTAGCCATACGAGTACGTCCTGGCCTGGAGACGGGTGTCTCCCATCCCTTCATAACGACACCCTTTGGCTTCTTAGTTTTTCCCTGCTGCTGCTCTCCTCCCTCGGATCCAGCAGCTCCACTAGTGCTGCCGCCAGTTTCCACACCATTTTCTCCACCAGCAGATGCCTCCTGTACCTTCTCTCCATCACCATTTCCAGCAGCTGCCTCCTCTCCCTCCTCCCACACACTAGGAGTCAGGTCCAGCTGCATGGTGATATGCTCCATCTGCTGGGACACCCGGGCCTCCGGCTGTTTCTCCCAGCTCCCATACATCATGCCCTCAATAAATTTCACATCCCTGCTGTCAAACAACACACCCTTGGATGGTTCCCACAGCAGCCATCCCTTGCTCTCAGCAGCCAGCCCCAAATGCACACACCAGATTGCACTTGCCCCCAACTTACTGCGGTAGGTCTTGGGGACGTGGGCGACTGCCATGCAGCCAAACACCCTCAGCATATCCACCGGCGGCTTCCTCCCAAGCCACCTCTCCAACGGCACCCACGAGTCATCCCCAACCTTGGTGAGCACCCTGTTCCTAGCGACGGTGGCGTGCCGGACAGCATGGGGCCACATCGAGTTGCTCAGCCCAGATTCTATGAGCAGCGCCCTAGCTGTCTCCAGAATTGTCCGGTTCGCCCGTTCTGCTACACCGTTCGACTGTGGGGTGTAAGCCGTGGTCAGCTCCCTCTGGATGCCCTGCTTCTTGAGCCAGGCCGTCATCTCAGCTCCAAGGAACTCACCACCCCGGTCTGTCCTAATCCGCTTCACCACACATTCCGCTTGCTTCTCCACGAACGGCAGCCAATCGTCCCGAATCGTGGAGGCGGCATGATCTTTCTGCTTCAGCGGATACGCCCACATGAGTCTGCTCCAATCATCCACTATGGTCAGAAAGTACCGCTCCCCCTTGTGCCCCTGAACCGGCAGCGGCCCCACCAAGTCCATGTGGACCAGCTCCAAAGGCTTCTTGCTCCTGCCAGCCACACTATGGAAGGGAAAACGGGTAAACTTTGAGAGCAAACAGATTTCACAGTTATCATCGGGTGGCTGCCCTTAACGGCTCCATCCTTCTCCAGCTGCTTCAGCAAGGGCATTGCCACATGCCCCAAGCGTCGATGTGCCGTTGCCCAATCCGTCCCCCCAGATCTGGCCGACACTTTCACGCCAACCCCTCCAACGGCGTTGCACTCCCCCTGGGATGCAGACCCCTCTCTAGCCTGCCCCCCACCGTGCCACGCCAACGCCGGCAGCTGCCACATGGATCTGTACACGTCCTTGCTCTCGTGCAGATCCCAAAGCACCCGATTGCCCAGCTGCCCCTTGTATGTGCGAGCCCCATCCGTGCTAGTGCTCACCCCAGCCTTGGCAAGCTTACGGAGGGAGATGAGGTTGGCCTTGAGGTCGGGAACGAGGAGAACGTCGTGCAGCACCACCGGCTTGCCATCCGCTCCCTTAAACGCAGCTCGTCCCGCACCAGCCACCTTCAGCGAGTGTCCAGAGGCGGAGCACACTTCGTTAATCGGTGCAGCGCGTACGTCGTCCAGCAGGTCTTTGCGCGGCGTCATCGTCCAAGCAGCGCCCGTGTCCAACACCCAATAGTCCAGGGGGTGCAGCTCTGCTCCAACCTTGGCAGAGGCGTCTCCTTGCTCCCCCTGCTCTCCAATATGGAAGAACTGGCCCGCGGTGCGCTCCTTCTTCTTCTCCGCACCAGCGTTGCTCTTCGGGTTGTTGTCGGACGAATCAGCGACCATGTTTGCGCCGTTTTTTCTGGTTTCTTCGCGCGCCGCCATCCTGTTGACGATTCTGGGGGGTCCATCCATCGGGTTTCTTATAGCACAAAAACCAGGGGTGCCCCTCCTTCTCACAATACCAGCAACTCCCTTTCATTTTGCCACCAGCACCCGACTTGCCCCCACGTCCAGATTTCGCACCGCGACCCCAACCGGTACCTCCTTGTTGGTCGTTGGAGTCGTCGTCCTTCTTTGCACCGCGCCCAGCACCACCGAAGCCACGTCCTCTGCCACGTCGGTTCCCTTGCATCCCGTAGCCGCTGCTGCCGTCGTCCCCACCCCTCAGTTGGCGGCGACGAAAGTCCTCCTCCAGAATCTTTGTCCGCACCCACTCGAGTGTCCACGAGCTCTGGTTCTGCGGCAGGCTCAATCCGCTCGTGAATTGAAGCCACGATTCCGGCAGCAGCGAGAGCATCTTCAAGCACTTGGTCTGCTCCGGGTAGGTGATTCCCGCAGTCGCCAACTTCGCGTAGAGGTCGCGCATCTTGTCCAGGACAGGTTGCACCGGCTCTCCCTCGCTCAGGCGCAACGCGGACAGCTCCCTCTCCAGCATCAACGTTGCGACAACGGAGGTCGGGGCGTGCAGCTCCTTCAACACGGTCCACGCCTTGGAATCCTCCCTGGTTGTTCCCAGGTTGATTCCCAAGGTCCTTGCTCGCTGGAATTTCGTTTCCGCGCTATTCGGTGGCGGAATGCTACCAGAGTCAACGCTAGTATGCTAGCACTCCAACGCTAGGCAAACGATGTCCGAGCCATAACTTCAGAATGGCAGATCGTTTTGTGAGGCAACGTGGTTTATTTTTTAGCTCTTGGAGCAAGCTTCGATTTAGCGAAATCCCAGCTTAATCCGATTGACGGTCTGCACCGCACACTGCGTCACTTTCAAGGTACTCTCGTTATTTTGTCTAAGGTATTCTTCGCTCCGCTCTCTACAAACTCGGACCCAAGGATAGGGGCTGGTCTTGTACCAGGCACCCAGGGACCCTTGGAGGTGACCCCGAGGAGAGGTTTTAAGTTTGATTAAGTCTTAATAGCTTGAGTTTATTAGGTCATTACACCAACAAGCTAGTATCAGAGTGTTATAGCGATCCTCGTTATAGTTAGCTATGGCGGGCAACACCTCGGCGGGAGCTGGTGAATCTTCAGCCCAAGATCGTAGCGGCAGCCAAGATTCTGGTGTTTCGGCACCAAGGGGAGCGCGAACCAACCAGGGCTCGCTGATCAAGGAGGTGCTGAAGAACTTCACCGTCGAGAAGTTCAATGGTGAGGGATACGACGATTGGGCCTGGAAAATGCATCTCTACTTCCGTTAGTTTGGATTGCTGAAACTAATGATTGGGGAGGAGCCTAGACCGAGTGACCCCGCCCTGCAGGAAGATTGGGACGAGCGCGCCTCGGCTGGCTACTATTTGATGTCGCAGAGGTGGGAGCTGAACCAACGTCACCACGCTTTGCACCTACTACGTAAGGTTGATTGCGGTCCGAAGGCGTGGTCCGTCTTGAAGGAGCTGCACGCCCCTACCTCCGTCGCCGCAACGCTCATGATGGAGAGGGAGCTGTCCGCGTTGCGCTTGAGCGAGGGAGAGCCCGTACAACCTGTTCTGGACAAGATGCGTGATCACTACGGGAAGCTGGCGATCGCAGAAATCACCTATCCAGAGCAGACCAAGTGCCTGAAGATGCTGTCGCTGCTGCCGGAATCGTGGCTTCAATTCATGAGCGGATTGAGCCTGCCGCAGAACCAAAGCTTGTGGACGCTTGAGTGGGTGCGGACGAAGATTCTGGAGGAGGACTTCCGTCGCCGCCAACTGAGGGGTGGAGATGACGGCAGCAGCGGCTACGGGATGCAAGGGAGCCGACGTGGCAGAGGACGTGGCTTTGGTGGTGCTGGACGCGGTGCAAAGAAGGACGACGACTCCAACGACCAACAAGGAGGTATCGGTTAGGGCCGTGGTGCGAAATCTGGACGTGGGGGCAAGTCGGGTGCTGGTGGCAAAATGAAAGGGAGTTGCTGGTATTGTGAGAAGGAGGGGCACCCCTGGTTTTTGTGCTATAAGAAACCCGATGGATGGACCCCCCAGAATCATCACCAGGATGGCGGCGCGAAGAGGAACCAGAAAAACGGCACGAACATGGTCGCTGATTCGTCCGACAACAACCCGAAGAGCAACGGTGGTGCGGAGAAGGAGGAGGAGCGCACCACGGATCAGTTCTTCCATATTGGAGAGCAGGGGGAGCAAGGAGACGCCTCTGCCAAGGTTGGAGCAGAGCTGCACCCCCTGGACTATTGGGTGTTAGACACGGGCGCTGCTTGGACGATATGACAGCGCAAGGACCTGCTGGACGACGTACGCACTGCACCAATTAACGAGGTGTGCTCCGCCTCTGGACACGCGCTGAAGGTGGCTGGTGCGGGACGAGCTGCGTTTAAGGGAGCGGATGGCAAGCCGGTGATGCTGCACGACGTTCTCATCGTTCCTGATTTCAAGGCCAACCCCATCTCCCTCCGTAAGCTTGCCAAGGCTGGGGTGAGCACTAGTACGGATGGGGCACGCACGTACAAGGGGCAGCTGGGCAATTGGGTGCTTTGGGATCTGCACGAGAGCAAGGACGTACATAGATCCATGTGGCAGCTGCCGGCGTTGGCGTGGCACGGTGGGGGGCAGGCTAGAGAGGGGTCTGCATCCCAGGGGGAGTGCAACGCCGTTGGAGGGGTTGGTGTGAAAGTGTCGGCCAGATCTAGGGAGACAGATTGGGCAACGGCACACCGACGCTTGGGGCATGTGGCAATGCCTTTGCTGAAACAGTTGAAGAAGGATGGAGCCGCTTGATGAAAATTGTGAAATAAGTTTGCTCTCAAAGTTTACCCGTTTCCCCTTCCATAGTGTGGCTGGCAGGAGCAAGAAGCCGTTGGAGCTGGTCCACATGGACTTGGTGGGGCCGCTGCCGGTGCAAGGGCACAAGGGGGAGCGGTATTTCCTAACCACTGTGGATGATTGGAGCAGACTCATGTGGGCGTATCCGCTGAAGCAGAAAGACCACGCCGCCTCCACGATACGGGACGATTGGCTGCCATTCGTGGAGAAGCAAGCGGAGTGTGTGGTGAAGCGGATTAGGACAGACCAGGGTGGTGAGTTCCTTGGAGCTGAGATGACGGCCTGGCTCAAGAAGCAGGGCATCCAAAGGGAGCTGACCACGGCTTACACCCCACAGTCCAACGGTGTAGCAGAACGGGCAAACCGGACCATTCTAGAGACAGCTAGGGCGCTGCTCATAGAATCTGGGCTGAGCAATTCTATGTGGCCTCATGCTGTCCGGCACGCTACCGTCGCTAGGAACAGGGTGCTCACCAAGGTTGGGGATGACTCGTGGGTACCGTTAGAGAGGTGGCTTGGGAGGAAGCCACAGGTTGACATGCTGAGGTTGTTTGGTTGCATGGCAGTCGCCCACGTCCCCAAGACCTACTGCAGTAAGTTGGGGGCGAGTGCAATCTGGTGTGTGCATTTGGGGCTGGCTGCTGAGAGCAAGGGATGGCTGCTGTGGATACCATCCAGGGGTATGTTGTTTGACAGCAGTGATGTGAAATTCATTGAGGGCATGATCTATAGGAGCTTGGAGAAACAGCCAGAAGCAAGGGTGTGTTAGCAAATGGAGCAGATCACCATGCAGCTGGACCTGACCACGAGTGTGTGGGAGGAGGGAGAGGAGGCAGCTGCAGAGGGTGGTGATGGAGAGAAATTGCAGGATGCACATGCTGGTGGAGGAGATGATGTGGAGAAGGAAGCTGAAGGGTGTAATTATGAAGGGATGGGAGACACCCGTCTCTAGGCCAGGACGCACCCGCATGGCAACAATGAAGCTGACTGCAGGAGCTGATGCAGCAGAGCAGCAGCTTGGGAATGAGGAGGCATTACTGATTTTGCCTCAAAGGTATGACCCTGATGAGGAGGATGAGCCTGCGTACTGTTTTCTTGCCCCTGCACCAGAGGAACCAGCTAGCATGGAGGAGGCATTAGCTGGACCAGATAGGGACAAGTGGCTGGTTTCTAGGGATGCTGAGTACCAGAGCCTGCTAGAAAATGGGACATGGGATCTGGTGGTGCTGTGTGAGGGGAAGAAAGCAATACAATACAAGTGGGTGCTGAGGATGAAGACCGATGACAAGGGGTAGGTCACCAACTACAAGAGTAGGCTGGTGGCTAAGGGATTTCAGCAGAAGAAGAAGAGATCTTTGCTCCCACTGCCAAACCCCCTACACTCCATATCTTGTTAGCAGATGCAGCCGTTGGTGGGAAATAAATAATTCAGATGGATATATCAACGACATTTGTCAACGGGATTTTGGAGGAAGAGGTGTTCATGACGCAGCCGCCTGGGTATGAGGATGGTACGGGCAGGGTGTGCAAGCTGAAAAGGTCCATCTACGGCTTGAAGCAGGCGCCACGCTGCTGGTACCAGAAGTTGGCAGCTGTTTTAGAGGAGATGGGATTCAGGTTCAGCAGCTATGATGGGAGCCTCGTTCTTATGGACGAGGGGGAGAAAATGGTGTTCTTTCTGGTCTACGTGGATGACAATCTTCTCTTAAACAGCAGCATGAACGAGATCCAGAAGGTGCAGCAGCAGCTGATGGAGAACTTCAAGTGCAAGAACCTTGGGGAGGTAAAGTACTACCTTGGGATGCACGTGGAGAGGGTTGAAGCTGCACCAGGAGAAGTTTATCAATGAGCTAGAGGAAATGTATGGGATTGAGAATGAGCGCAAGGTTGCAACTTCCCTGCCAGTTAAGTTCAAGCTTGTGAAAGCTGCAGAGGATGAAGGGGTTGAAGCCGAGGAGCAGCAGCATTTTCAGTCCTTGGTGGGCAGCCTCTTGTACGCAGCGGTTCACACGAGGCCCGAGATCTCTTTCTCGGTTAGGCAGCTGGCTAGGGTGGTGCAGAATCCACCAGGGGAGCAGGTGGATGCAGCTGAACGTGTGGTGAAGTATCTGAACTGTCACCCAACCATTGGAGTTCAATACTCCGCATCTGCACAGGTGAAGCAGAAAGGGGTTGAGGTGCTGAAAGAGAAAGGGGAGAGGCTTGGAGAAGGCAAGCTGTTTTTGAATTGCCTTACCGATACAATGTGGGTTTCTGAGAGGGAGGATTCCCCATCTGTGGGATGATACATCTGCGTAGTTGGGGGAGGACCTGTTAGTTGGAGGTCTAAGAAGCAGACGGAGACGGCACTCTCTTCCGTGGAATCAGAGTACATGGCAATGTTCCATGGGGTGATTTGGCTGAGGAGGCTGTTAGAGGAGATTGGCCAGGAGCAGAAGGTTGCTACGCCGCTGTTTTGTGATAGCAAGGGCGCTCTGGGGATGGCCAGGAACGCTGTGCTTCATGGGCTGAACAAGCACATGCGTATTAAGTGGCACTGGCTGCGTAAAGAGGTGAAGAGGGGGACGGTGAATCCGATCTACATCAAGACTCACCAGCAGCCAGCAGACTTTCTCACCAAGAGGCTTGCGGATGAGCCTCATTGACGTTGTGTGGGCAGGAGTGGAATGAACATGAACTAGCATGGATTTATGGGGATGCAGCCGGCAGGCTGAGGGTTGCACGGCATCCTGCCGTCTGTTTGTATGAGTATGCGTGTGCGAATGCATTTGGGTGTGAATGGAATGTTTGTGTGTTTGTTTCCTTTCAAAGTTTTTGCTAGATGCATTTGCAGGTACTCGCGCAGTCTGCGTTTCGCCACAACATTATACGCGCTATGAACAGTGCAAGAAGAAAGGACGAGCTCGCAAAGGAACCCAACTCGAAATTGTACTGTTTTGTTTGGTTGACTGTAGTGTAGCAGGGAAGGCACTATAGGAGTACAATTTAGGTGAAGGTTGGATGTTGTTTGTCTGTATCTGCATGCTACAAGGCCAGAGGAAACCAGCGGAACCAGCATTTGGCTGGTTGGGCAAAGACAAACCAGGTTCTGTTTTGTTGTTGTTTTCCCAGGTTGGAAAAACAGAACCAGAGGTTGTTTACCAACATACCACCTGCTATTTTGTTCAACCAGGTTGGTTCTGTTGCTTGGAATTATTTGGGATCATTCCTGGTTGTTCCCAGGTTGATTCCCAAGGCCCTTGCTAGCTAGAACTATTTATTCCTTCTCTGTTTGTACCTGAACATAGTCAATTGATTCAAGCGAATTTCTTCTCTAGAATTCGGTTTCTTCGCGGTTTGACGGCGAAATTCTACCTGAGTCAACGCTACTACACCAGCTCTTCAACGCTCCCCAAACGCTGTCTGAGTCATAACTTCGTAATGGCAGAACTTTTCGCGAGTCAACTTGGCTTTTTTTAAAGCTCTTGGAGCGAGCTTCGATATAGCGATTTCTCAGCTTAATCTGATCGACGGTCTGCACGGCACGCTGCGCGATGTTCAAGGTACTCTCGCTATTTTGGCTAAGTCATTCTTGACTCCTCTCTCTACAAACTCGGACCCGAGGATAGGGGCTGGTCTTATACCAGGCACCCAGGGACCTTTGGAGGTGACCCCGAGGAGAGGTTTAAGTTTGATCAAGTCTAATAGCTTGATTTTATTAGGCCCTTACACCAACAAGTACTTCTTGACCATTGTGGATGACCATATGCGTGCAATGTGGGTGTACCCTCTCAAGACTAAGAGGGAGATGGTAGTGGCTGTTTTCAAGGAGTGGATGCTAAGAGCTCAAAGGGAGAGTGGATAAAAGGTGAAGGTGATCTGCACTGACAATTGAGGCAGGTTTGTTGGTGCTGTTTTTGAGACGGAGCTGAAAAGGAAGGCGATCCAGCATCAGCTTACTGTGTCATACAACCTTCAGCAAAACAGCGTGGCTGTGAGGTTCAAGCGGACCTTGCAGGAAGGTGCACGCACTCTCATTGGAAGTGCAGGGCTGCCGGATCCATTTTGGGTGACTGCACTGCGGCAGGTCG